CCCCAAAACCCCAAAACCCCGTGTGATAAAATTTTTGGTAGTATTATAAAGATTCATTAAAAATAAATAAGGATAATTTATAAATTTTAATATTTATCTAAAATATAGTTATACAAAATATCCTATAAATCCTAGAGCTTGATTCATTTAATAATAAATTTTTCTCTATAAAAACATGAAGATCATCAGTAAATTCCTCCTTGGACTATTAATTGCTTATATTCCGAAGTACTAATCAGTTTGCTACAAAAACTCATATATCAGAGGCTCTGGAACACCTCTAGATACCTGTAGAGATGGGTTAGTTAACGATAACTCACTTTGCTATGAACCATGCAAGGCTGGTTTCACTAATGGAGGGCTACTTTGCTACGCAGCATGCCCTTCAGGCTTCACCAATTCTGGAGCTCATTGTATCAAGCCTTCGTCATATAGTAGAGGTGCTGGCTATCCTCTCTGGTAGTAAGACAAATGTGTTAAAGAGAATCCATAAGGGTGTGAAAATCCAGCAGGTATTTGGTACCCGAAATGTGCTCCTGGTTTTCATGCTGCTGGATGCTGCATCTGTTCACCTGATTGCCAATCAGATTAACTCATTGATGTTGGAGTGTCATGCTAGAAGAAAACTTATTCTCGTACTACTCCAGAGATACTTGGATGTGCTAAAAGTCTTGAGAAAGATGGAGGGTTATGCTACCCACCTTGCAAAGAAGGATTTAAAGGAGTGGGATCAGTATGCTGGTAGACATGCCCAGATGGAATGACTGATTGTGCAGCTTTGTGTTCAAATGGCGCAAAAGAATGCGCAGAAGTTACAGCAGCAATAGTAGCTGATGTATTCTCTCTTGGATTAGCTTTTGCCGATCCTCTAAATGCAGTTGGTACTATTGATGGAGCTGTAAATGCAGCAACTAAAACAGCAACAGATCTCACTAATGACTACTGTCCAACTCCTGAGGAAGCTAGATAGCAACAATTAAAATAATAGCAAGCTGATCAAGCCAAACAGTAACAACAATAGCAATAGTAACAATAATAACAAGCTCCATAAATTGTTTACGTTTTACCTCCATATCCATACCCTTATCAAACGAACATGACTGGTTACTAATATCCACCATACCCGTACCCTTACCCTTATCCAATGATGAACCAATCATACCAAATGCCAATTCCATAGTAATAAGCTTAACCAGCACCAAAAGTACAATTATACAGATCAATAAGCTAAAAACCAGTTTATTTCTTAAGAAATCAAATTCCTCAAGAGTAAGAAATAGCAGTTTAATCATAGAATCAAAAAATAAACCATCACTAATATAAAAATATTGGAGTTCATGGGCATATTCATGAAGATCATATTGATATATATCAAGATTGAAATCTGCTATTATTATTAATCTTAATTTCATAAACATTTATTGACAGCAATCAAATAGGCATGGGGTTTTGGGGTTTTGGGGGGTTGGGGTTTTGGGG